CAATACATTCCATAGTAGCAATGTAAAGACGAATTTTCAGATTTTGTTGATATGTTGACCATTAATTTTAGGCATGACACTGGAACAATTATTTTTTGATTCCACTAAAGTGTTTTGAGCTTTGTTGTTTGTTTCAGTTGAAAACCATCACTTATTCAAAATTAAGACTCAAACTTTATTTCATGAGTCATTGTGCTGGTTTGACTTGAGTAGTGTTCTTGTATATACATCATATAAATTATTTGTGTTAAAAATTAGGTAGTGACTTTTTAAAGCAAAATTGGGATTTTGTAGCTGCAAGGGGCTAGGGGCAATAGGTTTGATAATTAAACCTGTTTCAATTTTATTTTTATTCTGAAAATTTATGAAATTTGCTAATTAGTGACTTAAATGCTAATGTACATGTATAAATACATTATTTCTATTTCAAGAGGTTGATTCATGGTCAAATGTTACATTTTGTACCAAAGCGAGGAGTGGGTGGGTTCTTGGAAACATCATACACACAGTAACAGATGAGGATGTCATTGGAAGACGGAAACCCCAACCTTGTCGATGATTGGCACCAGGATGTTTTACACTTTTGATGGATTTTACTGATTGTCAATCTGTTTAGGTTTTGTCAAATTGTCATTTGTACTTTTAAAATTAAAGGTCCACTTTAGAATCGGCCAAGGGTGATAGATACGTCAGCATATTTTTTATCAGAACTTGTATTTATATTTTTGGTACAAATCAACAATATGTAATTCATTACTCAAGGTAACGTCATATTTTTAAGGATTATGAAGGAAAAAATGGTGGGAAAATTTTCTCCATAATTTTCATATATGATTGTTTTCATAAAAAGACCATTTTTTTCTTTCGTATAATCTTTCTCTTGCAAGTACATGCACATTTATCATCACATATCTTGCAATAACTTTTCATGATATTAATTAAAAGACACAAAATAAGAAAGAATTATTGATTTTTCAGACATTTAGAGAATCAAGAGGGCATTACAGGGATCAGGAGGGCATTACAGGGATCAGGAGAGCATTACAGAAGAACATTCCTTGTTTAAAATTGATAAATTTTCAATATTGATAATAAAATTTCCACCTGGTTAAGTTTCTACGGTTTTGATGTTCGATTAGGGAAACTGCAGAGCTAAAAAAGTAAGATGAAAAGTATGGACAGTGTTGGTAGTCCGTATCCATGACCACGAATAGAGGAGATGTGCTAGCTTAGGGAACTTAGCATTTCAAATGTTGTTTCTTCAGGGCTAGTATAACTAGATGTATAAACAGCCATCAGGGCTGGGTGTCCTGTAAACTTGCTGTATTTCTATAAAACAATCGATATTTAGGATACCTTAATTGAGATCTTAAGATTTATTTTGAGTCAATAATAAGTAAGAAAGAGAATTGAAACTTGATATCTTGGAACACATTTAAAAAAAAAATCAAACTTGTTTATACAGCTGAGCCCTGGACAAAAAAAGTTGCTAAATGACCAATATGATGTTGTGTGCCTTCAAGCACATTAGAAAGAAATGAAGAACACCAGAAATATAACTGAAAGCTAATATAACAAAGTTGCTGCTTGATAGAAGGATGCTTAGTGTCTTGGTTATGAACAGTAAAGTGATGTATTTTGTTGCAAAAACATATTGATATGTTTAACTTGAGAAAATGTAGACTTTAATGAAACAACAAACTAATTATTCACATTATTTTTCATAGTGCAAAGAAAAATGTATTGTGGAATTATAATGACAAAAACTTTTCCATGTCAAAATACTGTCCATAACGGTGTCCAATTTCAATCTTTAAACACAGTCACAAAAATATTATGAAATGTACAGGATTAATGATTACTGGATTTGCTAAATCATTTCCTTTAAGAAATGTATGCTTAAAGTATCTGGGTCTTTCACATAAACTCATTATATTGACTGGAAAGACACATGTTATGAACAGAGAGAAACTGCTTAGTTAATTTTCAATAGGTTATTATTAAAAAACCGTGCGCTCACTAGGTCTTAAAATTTTCATTTGAAAAATATAATGTCTGGGCAATACAAAAATATCTTTGAATCTTTGACTGATTTTTATTTTTATCTTATTTGCAACAAAAAGTTGTTTATAGAAAGAAAATTTACAGCACTCCACCACTGGCATTTACTTCCAAACATCTTTACCCTGGGTCACATGTAATTTGCCATGACCATACTCACGAATTTTTTAATATTTTAACCTGATGACCTTGAGGAAAGATCAAGGTCAATTATCAAGGGGAACGTTAGAGTACTCTGCTACAGGTGTCTACTTGTCAAATACTGCAACTTAAAAGAATGATTCTTACAAATATTTCATATTTGACCTAGGTGACCTTGAAAATATGTCAATGTCATTTGTATTAGGAAACTTGATAGCGCTTCATTCTAGATACTGTCTGCTGGAATACTGTACCAGGACTCTGTCGTCTTGAAGTTGAGAAGATTCATAAATGTTCTATTTGACCTCAGTGACCTTGAAAATTGGTCGAGTTAATTTGTGAGGAATCTTTTAAGTAGCTCGTCCCTGGAACCTCCTGACCAAATATCAGTATCCTGTCTTCTTTAACTTGAAAAGAGTAGATTTTCACACTTTTAAAAAATGTATTTAACCCTTGTTATTTTGAAAGAAGGTCAAGATCATTCATGTCGTACTTTATCCCAGGTACCTCCTAGCTAAAAATCAGTATCCAGTTGTTTAGTTTTCTTGAAGAAGGTAACAGTTCAGTGACCAGTGGATCCTTCACCATATCACAAACTGACAGCATCCCCTTCAATAGGGGTTAACAATTGTCTCAGGACACACAACCTACTTTATATAAAAGCTAATGATTAATACAAGTCATGTGTCTGTATAATTATAATAATTCTATTTCACAAATTTCTATTATGTATTTGTTAACAAAGTTCATTGATGTAGATATAATTTTCCTACCACACTTCACATATCTCAGTCCACAATATGAAATGGTTTTCTGTATAATATTGTTATATATTTACATCAAACAATAATATGTAAGTTTATATCCACATTCCTTAAAAAACATAATAGTGTTGAAGTACAACACATTCTGTCACAGAAAACATCTTAGTATTTGTACTTTCTGTATAAAAGTCAATAATTTTCCAGTAATGGAGAAGTTACCTCCCATGTTTCCTTATGTATTCATATAAATTACATTTCACATATCATATACATCAACAAATAAACAATTCTCACCATATTGTGTTACTTGACAATAATGGAAAAGAAAACTGTGTCAAGAGAGGAATATTTGTTTGAAAAGTGTCAGTTAAGGGACTTGTGTATGACAAAAATGATAAACAAAGACCCCCAGCATGATCCCTTTAATAGGGATTTAGCAAAATCTTTGAAAATCTATTTTAGACACCATTCTCCACTATTTGTCTCCATATAACACGGGTGTAGCAATCTGATGAATACTCGTTTTGTATAATTACAGCATAAGGATGCATTACAGCAAGATTATGTATAAAATAGGTAGAAGTCCATATATAATAACAGAGACCTGAGACAAAGGATATCACTTACAGCTGTATTATAACAATTGTACTGTAGAGATGTACCAGGGGGAAGTTCCATCCCTGAAAAGTACTGGAGCCTTGAAACAATAGATATCACCCACAGGTGTATTATAACAATTGTACTGTAGAGATAAACCAGGGGGAAGTTCCATCCCTGAAAAGTACTGGAGCCTTGAGACAAGATATATCACCTACTGGTGTATTATAACAATTGTATTGTAGAGATGTACCAAGAAAAGTTCCATCCCTGAAAAGAACCGGAGCCTTGAGACAATAGATATCACTTACAGGTGTATTATAACAATTGTACTGTAGAGATGTACCAGGTGGAAGTTCCATCCCTGAACAGAACCGGAGCCTTGAGACAATAGATATCACCTACAGGTGTATTATAACAATTGTACTGTAGAGATAAACCAGGGGGAAGTTCCATCCCTGAAAAGTACTGGAGCCTTGAGACAATATATATCACCTACTGGTGTATTATAACAATTGTATTGTAGAGATGTACCAAGGAAAGTTCCATCCCTGAAAAGAACCGGAGCCTTGAGACGATAGATATCACCTACAGGTGTATTATAACAATGCTACTGTAGAGATGTACTAGAGGGAAGTTCCATTCCTGAAAAGTACTGGAGCCTTGAGACAATAGATATTACTTACAGTTGTATTATAACAATTGTACTGTAGAGATGTACTGGAGGGAAGTTCCATCCCTGAAAAGAACTGGAGCCTTGAAACAATAGATATCACCTACACTTAATTCTAACTTGTATAGTACTATACACAGATGATTTTAATATAATTTTCATACTAATTGGCAAGTTCTGTCTATAGAACAGAAAATTATCAAATGATACAACTGTAATAAATAACCAAATCATCAACATATAGATAAAATGTATTATCTGATGTCCCAGTAAAAACACCTACACATGTAATATAATCTCAGTTTACAACAATAGATGTTTTATACAAACATCAACATTTAGATAAAATGTATTATCTGATGTCCCAGTAAAAACACCTACACATGTAATATAATCTCAGTGTACAACAATAGATGTTTTATACAAACATCAACATATAGATAAAATGTATTATCTGATGTCCCAGTAAAAACACCTACACATGTAATATAATCTCAGTTTACAACAATAGATTTTTATACATATATATTCCAAGAGAAGAATTTATCAAGTCCTAAAACGCTTCCTGGTTAATAATTCAGTGTTTATTGGTAACACATTAAATAATCACTGACTTTGTTTGTTTTGGTTTTATTTTTTTTTTAATTTCTCTAAAAAATCGACATATATCTTTCTCTTAGAATACTCATGGTTAAATCAATTTTCAAGATAACGCGATTGTTTTTCATAGGCCACAGTAAAATCCAGACTCCAGACATGATTTATCACAGAATTATCACGTTGCTCATTGTTGGAGAATCATCATAGCGAAATGTTCCAAATAGCTCTTTATTCTAGAACACAAAATAGTTCACTTTTTCTAACTTAAAAACAACAAATAACACCACAGATTTAGTAATTCCTGAATACCCCTGATGGTTAAACCTGACCGGAGCCATACCATTCACGTACGAATATCTCCACTGAAATTCACATCAGTCACTCGATCCTGGTCAAAGACGCCGCCTGCCTATTTTACCGCACCGTCAAACTCGTACAGAAAAGTCACCATGATCGACAGATTTCCCTCATAAAACAAAGGAACATCACATGGACTGGGTACAGGAAGGATATTAATGGTTTGTACTTATTATCAGCAGACGTTTCATAGATAAAATACCTGCATGTTTATTTACCAAACACTTTGATAAGATGATCACACAAACTGTGTTTTTTCCAACTGTATCTCTCTTTCCTTTGCTTTGCCAGGTCTAAAAGAGGTATCCTCCTCATGTATGGTAGTAATGTCATACTTACCTCTTGTATGTCCGACTCGGCGATGTAATGTAGACAACGACGGTCACGTTTGTCAAAAACTGTGAGCAGTGATGGATACTGCTCACATAAATAGACACAAATCTCCTCGTTTCCTTCCTCACAGCTCACATGTAATACAGTCCGTCCTCTATTGTCAACAGTTGTGAGCAGTGATGGGCACTTCTCACATAAATAGACACACATCTCCTTGTTTCCCCAGTAACAACTCGCATGTAATACAGTCTGTCCTTTATTGTCTACAGCTGTGAGCAGTGATGGACACTTCTCACATAAATAGACACACATCTCCTTGTCTCCCCTCGCACAACTCGCATGTAATACAGTCCGTCCTTCATTGTCTACAGCTGTGAGCAGTGATGGACACTTCTCACATAAATAGACACACATCTCCTTGTTTCCCCTCTCACAACTCGCATGTAATACAGTCCGTCCTTCATTGTCTACAGCTGTGAGCAGTGATGGACACTTCTCACATAAATAGACACACATCTCCTTGTTTCCCCTCTCACAACTCGCATGAATTAGAGTCAGTCCTTCATTGTCAACGAAGTTAAACATGTACTGACCCCACACACAATCCCTGTGTACAACATGTCCGTCTGTCCCACAATGTGTATACAAGGTTTTAAGTGTAGTTCTCTCCACTGTCTGGAATATTGATAAGTCTATACCTGCCGCGACATGGAGCGGGGTTTGTCCATACTTATTAGTGTCACGTACCAAGTCTGGATACTTATCACACAACTCAGTCACCATCTCTTCACTCCCCGACTCACACGCCTGATGTAGTACATTGTTGTTGTTGTACTCATCCCTCACTGTTATAGTGACGTCATACTGCAGTAGTTTACGTAACAATTCCACACTCCCTCCCGCCGCCACAAATAACAGTGTTTCATTGTCAGGTTTGACTCCCACGTTCAGAAGATATAAAACACATTCTGTTGAACCAGATTCACATGCTCTATTTAACAAGTCATTTTTCATCTCATCATTCAGGTATTTAACAACTCCCTTAAGTACAACCACATCTTCCTTACCACGATAACCAAACACATCACGTCCAGTAATCAATGACCACCAGTTTGTGTACTTGTCAGGTTTGACTCCCACACTCAGAAGATATAAACCACATTCTGTTGAACCAGATTCACATGCTCTATTTAACAAGTAATGTTTCTTCACATCATTCAGGTATTTACCAACTTCCTTAAGTACATCCATATCTCCCTTATCATCATCATCTCCTCCTGTAATCAATGACCACAAGTCTGTGTCATTGTCAGGTTTGGCTCCCACACTCAGAAGATATAAACCACATTCTGTTGAACCAGACATACATGCTCTATTTAACAAGTAAAGTTTCATCTCATCATTCAGGTATTTAACAACTTCTTTAAGTACATCCACATCTCCCTTACCAAACACGCCACCTCCTCTAATCAATGGCCACCAGTTTGTGTACATGTCAGGTTTGGCTCCCACACTCAGAAGATATAAACCACATTCTGTTGAACCAGACATACATGCTTTATTTAACAAGTAATGTTTCTTCATATCATTCAGGTATTTAACAACTTCCTTAAGTACATCCACATCTCCCTTATCAACATCATCTCCTCCTGTAATCAATGACCACCAGTCTGTGTCGTTGTCAGGTTTGGCTCCCACACTCAGAAGATATAAACCACATTCTGTTGAACCAGACATACATGCATTATTTAACAAGTAATGTTTCATCTCATCATTCAGGTATTTAACAACTTCTTTAAGTACATCCACATCTCCCTTACCAAACACGTCACCTCCTCTAATCAATGGCCACCAGTTAGTGTTATTGTCAGGTTTGGCCCCCACACTCAGAAGATTTAAAACACATTCTGTTGAACCAGATTCACATGCTCTATTTAACAAGTTATGTTTCATCTCATCATTCAGGTATTTAACAACTTCCTTAAGTACATTCACATCTCCCTTACCACGATAACCAAACACATCACCTCCTGTAGTCAATAACCACCAGTTTGTGTCATTGTCAGGTTTGGCTCCCACACTCAGAAGATATATACCACATTCTGTTGAACCAGACATACATGCTGCATTTAACAAGTCATGTTTCATCTCATCATTTAGGTATTTAATAACTTCCTTAAGTACATCCACATCTCCCTTACAATGATAACCATTCATCATTCAGACAACATGCTGCATTTAACAAGTCATGTTTCATCATTCAGGTATTTAATAACTTCCTTAAGAAATTCCACATCTCCCTTACCACACACATCACCTCCTGTAATCAATGACCACCAGTTTGTGTACTTGTCAGGTTTGACTCCCACACTCAGAAGATATAAAACACATTCTTTTACACCATATTTACATGCCTTATTTAACACAGCACGTTTATCAACTTTTCTCTCATTCAACAACCCAACAAATCTTACAACAAATACAGGATATTTCCATACATCTAGAGACCTAATAGTATTACTATGATAACACTCAAACTCTCGGAGCAGACGTTCACATAGACATGTATAATGATCTGATGATATGACAATCATGTCTGAGGATGTTTTTGAGGTTTTGAGATAACCGAGAGATTTCACTGGACAATTCTGTATATAACCAACTGGTGTTTTGTTCCAATACAAAAGAGCTACTGTGACATGTACAGAATCATGATTAAATCTGTATACTTCATCACCAGACCAATTTTCCTCCTTCACCACTAAAAATCCTAGCAATCTGTCTAAACTTTCTTTTACAAATCCCACTTTTTTCTTGTAAGTCAATGAGGTTCTGTCCTCCTCACCATCAATCAGATTAATATCAAATGATTCCTCTAACAATGTTTTGTTGATTTTATCACTGTTTGGGTCTAGATCTTTAACATTTATCATCCCTCCATTGAGGAAAAGAAACAAAATGGCACAACATTCTGGTAATCTTGACAACACTTCGTTCAAAAATTCAAATGGTTTCTCAAAAAAATTCACACGTTTTGCCTGCAATTCCACAGAGTTATAGAACAGGTGGCAGCATTGAGGAAAACCAATGCTTGAAGCAGATTTCACAATACTTTCTATTTCTTCCTCTTCCCATTTATAATTGTTTGGTAGATATTTTTGTAGAAGTTCTTTTCTTTCCTCTAAAATCCTGTACGTTTCAGAACTCAAGTCAATAATATTACATGTATCTTTGGTAAAAACTGGTTCCAAAGACTGCCTTTTCAAATCATTATATATTTCATTACGAATAGTAACAAGCAAAAAATTGGGATTGATTCGTTGATCTACAAACAATGTTTTTACATTATTAATTCTTTTGTTCCACTCACATACATCTGTATTTCTAACATTTTTCTCTCCAAAAATATCATCAATAAAAGTAACCAGATTGGAGTCTGGGGACAATTTATCTAATTTCTTGATTTCATGAAGCTGAAGAGGTTGTCTGCATTGCTGCTCCTTGATCAGCCAGTCCATGAGTTGAATGGCAGTCGAAGTCTTGCCGTCTCCTGTGTTACCCTTGATCATTATGACTCTGTTCTCTCTGAGTTTCTCTTGTGCGTCATGAAAAGCTTTAGTCTCCATGAACTTTTTCTCTTCTTTTTCTGTTTTAATCCTGTTTATAGTTTGAACTGTAAGAAAATAAAGAAAGGATATCAAAAATAAACAAAAACTTTTATTAGTATACAGCACTTTAAATATATGTAACTTTTAAAAGATATAACTTTTAAACATTTCTTTTTCCTGTATTAGATTACCAAGGTCCAAGATATTATATTGGAATTCATTTTATATTGAATTATGTCTTACTTTTGGTCAAAACATCAGGAATTTGTTTTTAAAAGAATTTACTCTATTCCCCCTATTGGGCTCCGCCCTCCTGCCCCAGGGGGCAGAGATATTTCGTTTATACCAAATCGAACCTTTACCCAAGAATGCTTCAGACCGATAAAAGGACATTAACTTTGTTGCATTTTATGAATGTTTCAGACCGATAAAAGGACATTAACTTTGTCGCATTTTAGTAAGACTTGATGTTTCAAAAATCACATACAAATAGAAACGTAATTGAAATCTTACATCCCATATACTGCATTTAGTATATCACAAATAATGTGGTGATTTGTAGTCATCAAAGAGTATATAAAATGTGACTATTTATAAACGATGTAAAACTTTAGACGGTCTGCATATTTCATCTGACCTATCAACCTATTTTCCCGTATTCAGGCCTTATTCTCTTGTTTCCAACTTTGAAAAGCACAATGTCTCCTTATTACTTGTAGTTTGGTCATTAACAGTTACTTGATAAAGCTGTTTTGGACAAATAAGACTTTCAAGGAAAAATTGACAGACAGATACAGCACCTAGACTGGATTTCAACAGTGCTGTAGACCAATGGAGATAAAAAACCATATGCTCCCCTTCCATTCCACTATATCAGTTAACGTTTAGAATCTGACAGTAGAATAAGAACCATATTATGGTAACCTTTGTTTTATACTTAATGTCATTTTATATTTCATAAAATGTTATATTCTTTTTTTCCTCGTAATACACAAAACTTACAAAAAAAATAATGAATGGCTGGATCAATTAAGTTTTCACACAGCATGCCCAGAAATGTTGTGATTCAAGTTTTGAGGAATCTGATGTAACTTTTCTCACACCGTGCCCAGTCAAGTTGATACGACTCACCTATCAAGGGTCTTAAGTCAGATTGGATTTCTGTAAAATAAAGAGACCAGCAAAATATATAGTAGAAAAGACTTTTTCATATATTTAGGAGTTATCAGAATTTAAACACCTGAATTATTCTTAGGAGGCTTTAAGACTAATTAAGTTCTTCATGGATCTTCAATACACATGTTCATCCAAGTTTTCTCCGACCCAAAAACCAGAGTTTAGACATGTTAACAGACTGAACAACATGAGACATCTGTCCATCAAATGTCTTATCCTCATACTGTGGGCAAAAGAAGCTTAATTATGTTAAATTTATGAGCATTGTCTTTCCAGATGGTTATATATTAGACACTATTGGGCCATTTTATGGCAATGAAAATGATGCAAATATCTTGACAAAAACTCTTGGAACCGTTGAGAACCTAACCATGTAGCTCAGTGAAGATGACAATGTGATTGTTGACCAGGGGTTTAGGGATGTGTTGGAGCTTCTGCGAGGTTCAGGGTTTGTCTGTCAGGTCAGACGCAGCATGATACACTTACTGCCAACAAGGACTGCCAATGTACTAAGTCAAGATGGGTTGTGGAGAGCTACCATGGTCTACTGAAACAGTGGAAACTGTTCCGAGAACAACTCAGCTCAAACTACTTCCTTAGTGTCAAAGAGGAACTGGTTAAAGTAGATACTGCTTCCTTGAATGCTGTGTGTGGACCAATTTATGTGTCCACACCAGAGAGGGACTTCAGGGACCGTCGCCCTGTTGAGCGAATGCAATCCCATTTGACTCTGCCCAACACCTCGGCCTTAAGGGTTGCAGATGAACCTGACCTTTCCAGGCGCATCAAGGCCAACTGGGTGAAACTTGATGCCTGTTCAATAGAGTTTCCAGTACTGGATATGGAATATTTAGAAACAGCAACCTGCGGATCATACTAGTTGAAAGTAGCACCCAGATATATTGCTGTGCATCTCACTCCTGCTGGAGACTTTGAAGTTTGGGTCTATAAGCATGATGAAAATCTTCTCTGAGGCCAAATTCATTCAAGGCACAAATCACAGTCAAAATACAATGTTTGGATTGCATTTGACAGAAATGATCAAGATGACCCTGTCAGAGATTACTACTGTGTCTGTCAAGTGGGCAAGCGAACCATTGGAATGTATGCACATGTTGCGTGCATTTTGTATTTCTTGGGCCATGTTCTGCATCAAAATCAAACTAAACCAGTCCATGCAACACTCAAGTTCAAACAAGCAATCACTTCAGCTGTTCTGCTATACTAAAACACAATGTAATGTGCTGCAAACTGCAACTATTCTATCTCTTATTAGCTTCTCAAAGTGCCACAAATTATGGATCGGAATTGACCAAGGCAAAATCTGTCACTATTGCTGTACATAATCTAATAATGTGAATTTATTGACCCACATCTGGGCAATATCCATTTATTCTTACATGAGTAGGATTTTTAAGATTCCATTTTTTCCAATTTAGGCCCTGCCTGTGGTCCCCTTCCTCTTATGATGCATCTTTCATGGCTAGTAGCATTTTTTAGTAAAAACTGACGGATAACGTAATGCGCTGTGTCTTGGCTTAAGTCCTTCGGACCAGGTGAGCTAATAAATATCAAGCAATGCTTCAAACGAAATTTGGGTAATATCCTGCAATTTCTAAAGAGAAAAAATTATCTTTAAGAAAGTTATAAATTTTCCCCATCGTGCCCCGTCCCAGAGGAGCAAGATCCACCATTTAGACAAAGTTATTTCCCCTTCCCCAAAAGATCATTCAGACCAAGTTTGGTTAAAATCTGCTGAGTTGATTTTGATTGGTTGCAATTTATAGGAAGTTGACAGACGCCAGACAACATGGTATCCCTTACTGGGCTCTAAAGGCCAGGTGAGCTAAAAATCATCCGAAATGTTCGCAGAAAAATATCTTCATTTTTCATGTATTAACTACATTCTTAATCTTATATACTACACTGTTTGATGATAAATCAATATTTACTAGGGCTTGTACTTGTACTGGAGCCCCAAGCTAGACAGACATGTTGACAGGCTGAACAACATGACACGGCTGCCCAACAAAATGTCTTATATTTGGTGTTAGGACTAAAGGAAACTTGGACTATCAAGACATGTCTGAAGTCATTCCATTCATATTCTACAGTAGTTAAAACACTAGTAGATATTACTATATAAGATAATACATCACCTAATCAGTATGGAACACTTGTCTAACTTTATTACATTATTTCCTTGTAATTCAATGACTATACACATGTTATATTTTAGGTTTTACCTCCTGTCAGAAGGTAACATCAATAAACAAGTGCAGTACTGATACAGTGTTACCAACCTATTACAAAGTCTAACTTGAAAATAGAGCTATCTACAAATCTGATCTAACCAGTAACTATTGTACATAGGAATGTGACATAATGTACCGAGGGAGACCTACACATCTGATCTAACCAGTAACTATTTGTACATAGAAATGTGACATAATGTACCATGGAGAGCCTACCAATCTGATCTAACCAGTAACTATTTGTACATAGGAACATGACATCAAGTACAAAGGGAAATTTACCAAACTGTTTTGTGCTTTTAAAACAAACCTGTAGATTGTTGCTGGCTTGTATCTGATGATTTCAGTTTTTTGGCTGCCGATGGACCAGCTGCACCTACAAGTAAGACAATGTTGTCACATACATGATTATGAATAAGTAGAACAGTTTTTTTACCAGTTAATTTAAGTGTTTCAAAGGATTCATAAGTATTAGATAACTAGTGGTTTAAATATTTTTCTCCACACTAAAGACACCACTTTTTCATTTCTGGTGACTGATCAGACTAAACAAAATTCTATTTCTCCTTAATTTCTCTAAAAATTGACAAAAAAACTCTTCATCCAAGGATGATTTAGACCAAACCGAGACAGAATCATGACATACCTACAGAAGATGAAATATTTTAAAGTATTGCTGTTTCCCCTATAATAGACCTGTTCCTCCAGTCCCAAGTACCAAGAAACACTGTTAGTTTGTATAAAACTGAATCCTCTTCCCCAAGGATGTTTGTAACTAAATACAAAATATGGAATAAACAGTATTGAAGATGATTCTACACAGTGATAAGCTGAACCAGAAATCAGGACAATCAGTGTGATACATCATATCAATACTGCTTCTATACATCAGACCCAATATCACATCACACTGCCAGGAACTAATTCTGATCATTATTATTGTCAGTTCTCACCTCCATTAAGTATACCCTTGACAATTTTTTCTTGTTCTTCCACATAAGTAGCCATTCTGGGATTAATCAATCTTAATTTTGGTGTAAAATGTTCATAATTTCCTATTGAAAGCTTCTCAGCATTACCAAGGTGTACAAATAGGTCATCTATATCTTTGATATTTGTAATATGTCGTCGAGATAGTGGGCAATCTCTGAATTGATACTTCAATTCATTTATCTCTGAGTCGCTTAACTCCTGCTGGAGTTTAAATGCCAATTCATTGTGGGCGGCTACAGCTTCTTCATTTACAGATGCCATTTCTTATATCTCTCACACCTGAAAAAGATAAAAGAATCAATTAATTTTATTAGACACATTTTAACAAATGGCGAAAATTCTGTAAATAATAGGTTCTGAGCCCTGACTTTCGTACACTGCACATACTCTTGTTAAGATGAATGTATAAAGGCGAGCAAAATGAAACTCTGGACTAGAAAAACAACAAGAGGCAATAACTCTGTAATAATGTGGTTGAGGGTCCTAACTTTGCACAATGTCTCATTATCCTCATTAGAATGCGAGCACAATTATGCTCTAGACATGAAATCTTTCATGAAATAAGTTCAGTATAATGAAGAGGTTATGGGTCCTGAATTTGGTACATAATATATATTAAGGTAATAGAAGGCAAATGGCAAATATTGTTTAACACTTATGTAGATAGGAATGTCCTGATAAACTGTGGTTTGGAATATTTAGCAACTGTACAACAGAGGTGTAAAAATTTATTCTGGAAAGACGTATTTCAGTCTTGGAGAACTTTAATAAGTTAGCAATGTATGTTAAATGAAACGGTTGATATGCTAAAAACACCTATTTAGTACAATGAACATCTTAAAATAGGTAACAAGACTATTTTTTATAGAGAATGGTTTTGTAAAGGTGTTGTAATTATTAATGACTTAATAAAAGAACATGATTCTAACACTCTTTACTCCTATAATGAATTTTTGCAAAAATTCCAAATTAATACAGATTTCATAACATACCAAGGTGTTGTGTCTGTTATAAAAAAATATATGCCACGTGATATCCGCAATGTAGTGATAAATTACCCATATATACCAAAAATCTTAGAAATTTTTTTTAAGCATAAAAGGGGTATGAAAGATTTTTATAACATACTCTAAAAATAGCTCTACAGCCACAGGGAGAAACAAGAGGAATTAACTTTTTTAATTAAATGATGAAACCTGGAAATCAATATACATGAGTCCATTTCAAGCTAATACAGACACAAAATTACTATGGCTGCAATACAGAATTAATCATAACATATTGACCACAAATTCACATCTATTTAAATTAGGCCTTGTTGACAACCCTTCTTGCCACTTCTGTAAAACTGAAAGAGAAACAATAGTTCATACATTATGAGATTGTACTGAAATCCAAAACTTCTTACGAAACTTTGAATTTCTACTAGATGCACTGTTCATCCCATTTGCATTTAATAAGGAAACCTTCATTTTTGGGCTTTTTAATCAAAATAGTTGTAGTAGGAAAGTAGATAATACTATCATTCTGTTAATGAAATACTATATATATATAGATCAAGATGTTTGCAAACAACACTTTCTATAACAGCAATGAAAAATCTAATTAAAGATACTTACTTTTCTCAGAGATATTCAGCGATAGGGAAGGGAGACACTTTTGTACATAAACTTAATAATGAGTGGAAAAAATGGGACAGACTACTTACATCTACATAACCTTGACATTTTCGTCTTGTCAGGAAAAAAGTTACATTGTATCAACTTTATCTTTGTTTGCGAAATCTTTTATTGTATGTTAATAGCTTAAACCATCTCCATGCTTCTGGTAATTTATTTCCACATTGTTTTCTTGCTCTCTTTTTCTCTCTTTCTCCTCCCTTTTTTTGCTATTTTTTTTTCCGATAATAAACAATGCACTAGTTTTTTTCCCCCCCCCCCTTAAATGAAATTACAAAATGTATACATGCTAAAGCTAAGTTTGATGAATGAGTGGTATAGCATGCAAGTTATACATGGTAATATCTGTTGTATATTATATTTATGCATTGTTTGAAAATTGGAAAAAAATAAAAAGTTACAAAAAAAAAAAATATATTAAGGTAATATTCCATTCAGAGAATGTTCCGATTTAGGGTTTGAAAAAATTTAGTGAAAGAAGGACTCGGCTGACGACTCAAACAGATCGACAGTGCCAACTACCAGCAATGGCATCTGTACTATGAAAGATTCTTACCCCGGGGCAACCCAGTGACTGTCTAGGAAAGACTGGAAGGGGGCATAGAGGGTTGGCATCCCAACTTGCAGTTCCTGTGAGGAAACATCCTATTTCAACCAGCTACTACACAGAATACGGAGCAACACCCAGAGTCTTTCGGGAAGAGGGGCTGGATGAAAGACTCAACAGGATGGGTAATATAGGAACAACATGGCCTAAACAAACAACATTGAAAAGAACAGTAGAGGAGACCAAGATGCCATCAAGGTCTGCAAGAGTATTAGGGGAGTCAGGATACACTAGGCATGTATTAAATGTAAAACAGCACTGAGGACCTCTTACTCTCCGAGTCCGCACAGGTAGACAGTCGGCACTCTGGGAATCAGGACAAGCCAGATGCTCAAGATGCAGTCATCCAACAACAAGAACAGGAGAGAGTAAAGTGACTAGCAATGGGAGACAAGGCATGGGATTCATTCTTCAGCGACATTGACAAGATCCTGGAAGTAGACTTGGTCTGGAACGCCTGCAGGAAAGTAGAACTAACTGCTATCATGCCTTCAAAGGGAAAGGAGAGGTAGAGTACTCAGGGCTCTCACACCCCATTTTGGGACTGGGGCCCGGGGCCCTTAGAATTAGGAAAAATAATGGTGTTTTCCTTAGAATTGCGAAAACTTGGGGTCTAAATTGGGAAAAAAGGATACTATTTTTGCATTGGGAATGGGGCCGAATCTGGCAGATCGAGAGCCCTGGTACTGTTTAGAGAAAGAAGATACAACTAGTAGAGAAGGCCATAAACAGGAGAGAAAAGGAGATACAGGCAATTTGGCAGTTCAAGAAAGCAGAGGAGTTAGAGACGGTTGGTCTGAGTCAACTGAGAGAAGTTGATGGAAAGGGTTGAGGAAAGCAGAGAGAATACACAAAGTGCGGAGAGATAGCGGAAAGAAGAGAGCTGCTTTTGTCGCTAATCTGTAAACAACAAGCTCAGTTCTAGAAGTGAAAAGATCAGGAAGACTTGCATGTTCCAAGGAGCTAGTGGAGAGACACTTGAGACACATGGGGAATGCCTTAAATGTACCCCTATCGTCAGTCTCTAATTTTGGAATAATTTTTGAAGTAACATTTCTACCTTCTAAATTGAGAAAATATGTTGTAGGCTCTTCCCCCTTCTTCCTGCCATCTTGCCCGAGATCTTACAAAGCTACCTTTAATCTTTTCCTGTGTAATAATTTCAAAATTGTTTATTTGTTCTAATCTTTCCATGTCTACCTGTTCTTGTTTTCTATTTCTAAGTACAATTCCTTTTCAATCTTATTTTGCTGTTTCTTTCTGTGTGATGAGTATGTGATGGTTTTGCCCCTTATTTCTTAGTAATGCTTCAAAACATAGCTGGACGTCAATAACAAATTATATTTCTGTATTTGAAATATCATCTATATCTCTATATATATATATCTATATCTCTAAAATTGTATTACTTATCAGCTGTAAATATTCCTCTTCATACAATAAAAATGATTTGAATTTCCATAGTCCCCTCCCCCAATTAAATTTGTTAAATTTCAAGTTGAGGGCTCAATATTGGAGTTATTTACGCTTGACTAAAAATTTTCCAAAATAAGAGAAAAATCTAATCTGGCTTGCTTTAATGGATTTTCTTTTTCTCCAGGTATATCTTCTGCTGTCAAGATGTAACTTTCTATAAATATCTACTAATGAGAACTTTCCATAATTTTTAATATTTTCTCTCTCGCCTTCTGGTTATTTACATTTTTGTAGATTCTGTCATAATTTAAATCTGGATCCAATACTAAGTTAAAATGTCCACAGATGATGTATTTATCATTTCCAAACTCATCTAATATATCTGCCAAAAACGCATAACAAGAGATCCCAGTGGGATCTTGGCACCCACCATTTGAGGATCTGTTTTCAGTTCTTGAAGATTTGTTTATTTTTTTTTTATTTATTTCCTTAATGTTTTTGTAACACCAACACTTAAATATTGTTGACATTTTTAATAAATCAATTCTTCTGTTACTTCTCATGTGTCAACCCATTAACTCAATTCATTGCATGGTTTAGTATACATAACCTAAACAGTGTATTTATCAATGTTTACTTAATTTAGAAATCTGAAACTTGAGAATGACTGATCATGTAGGTAAGAAATAGTCATAAAACAATTACTCGCTGTTCAAATCCAAGATGAAGAGCTATAGATCATTTTGTTTTTCAGATCATTTTAAATATGGGACAATGCTTAACTAGGTACCAAGAGGAAGCCAAATATGAAATTTGAGAAGGATCCTGTCACAGCAATAACAAACTACAGTATTACTGTCGACATCCAAGATGGCTGCCTGTGGGCCACCTTGATTTCAAATCAGTCCAAAAAAGGTACAATGCACAACTAGGGACCAAGGGAAACCAATACCTATGAAATATCAGAAGGATCCATCCAGTACTTCCTCAGAAATAGCGGTAACAAGATTTTACTCTCAAAATCCAAGATGGCTGCCTGTTAGCCATCTTGACTTCGGATCAGTCCAGAAAAGGTTAAATGCACAACTAGGGACCAAGGGGAACCTGCATATGAAATTTGAGAAAGATCGATCCAATTCTTTCCCAGAAATAGCAGTAACAAACTTTTACTTTCAAACTCCAAGATGGCCGCCTGTCGAATCAGTCCAAAAAAGGTACAATGCACAACTAGGGACCAAGGGGAACCTTCATATGAAATTTGAGAAAGATCCATCCCGTACTTTTCCAGAAATAGCGGTAACAAGAATTGTTTACGGACCACGGACGCAGGACGATTAAAAACTGGGAGTGTCCATGTTTGGACTGCACAATGTGATCAGTGTTATTTTACATCCTTCCAGCAAAGTGTCTAGAGCCAAGAAATTTCCAGAAATATCGCTCTTTTCAGTTTAATTTCGAAATTATTATTTATTAAAATAGCTACCCCTCTAGAATTAAATCTGAAAGAGCTATAATAACAACTTTAACCCCACTGACTTCTGATATAAGTTTGGTTTTCTTCCGTGAAATGCATATCTTGTAAACCATGAATACAGATTTTTTTTAGACTTTTAATAACAGAGAACATTTTTTCTTTACGATATTCCCAAGACCCTGACAATTGACAGAAAGAACAGTTATGTCTCCCATTACTAGCTACCTATGGTGCTTTAAAACCACCTGTCCACATAAGATAAGTTTATTTCCGGTTCAGGATGTGAAGAGCCCTCTATACCAGACTCAAAAATGAATGTTATGTTTCAAGATTCTATAATAAATAAATGAATTGTGTATGTCTCTCATAAAACAATGCTTCTTATACAGTTAATTCAATAGTTATTTCAGCTCTGTAGTTAAAGAGAAGTTCATGGTTCTTTCAGTAATGGTCTTAACTCATTTTTAAACCTATTGACAGTTTTTGCAATAAAAATATGATCCGGTAATTTGTTCCAGGTCGATACTGGTCTTATGGAAAAAAGGGTTTTCGCGTAGTTTGAAGCTCGTTTTTGGAAAAGTTGTTTTCGAGTTGATTCGCTGACTGTCGTTGAGTGGGCTCCGCCCATATGTTGGACAGAATTGCAGCATTCCCGGTCATACATTCCATTGGTGATTTTATATAGATAGTTCAATCATTTCTCTCCTGAAGGCTAAAGTTGGTAGGTTCAGTATTTCTAATCTCTGGCTGTAGGTAAAATTTTGCATGCCCCGTAGGCATATAGTTGGTTTTCTTTGAACTCGCTCTATTTTACCAACATGCTTAATCACATATCTTCATCGCCTAACCCAGAGGCAGAGCGAGAACAGAAGACATGAGATAGGGATACATATAATACAAAAAGAAACAGAATCATATCAATAAGGTCAGAGTACTGAAAGACTGTCAACTCACGCAATTTTTTCTGCCAATTCTACGATAACTTCTACGTGTGAAGGCGCGAACAAAGCGGATATGAGGTAGCAGTACACAGTTTCTCGGTGTGGCCATGGGTGATTTTTTTGCTCATTAGATTACCCCATTATAAAGGTTTTAATTAAAAATGAAAAAAAAATCCTTGCTAAAATTGGTCCTGTCATGTTAAAGTGGACAATGTGGGGTTTCATTTTTTTCAGGATAATATTTTAGCTTTGTGTTGGAGATTACTATTTGGGCAGTCTCGAATCTGTGTCTACGCACCAAAAACTAGCTTTACAGGAAGTGAAATTTTCATAGTGTTTACATGTGGTCATGTTATGAAGAATTTCCGAGTTGGAATTTGCTGAAATGTAAGTACTTTGTTACCACGACAGTGTTGTTGATTGTAAGATAGGTGATTAGAATTAAATTTCTCCTAGAAAGTTGTAGTGTTGGATTGGAATTAGCAGTATTTTTGCATTTTTAGCATTTTTTCAGTAGGTAACCATGACAATCAAATGTCAGAAATCAGAGGAATTTTTTTTTTTACACAAATTTCATCTCTCTACTGTTAATGTAATTGTTATACAGTTTATAAATATATATACATGTAATGATGTATTTTTCATAACCAATCTGCTATACCTGTATACTCAAACATGACAAATAATTTCAGGAAAAATGCAAATTAACTGTTTACTGCTACCTTATAGCACATTAAAAAAAATTAATCTATTTAAAATGTGCTTTACTATGTTTAATTAAGTTTAATCCTTTCCATAATTGCTATAAATACATAAAAAACACACTGAAACTTGTTCATAATGATTTTATTTTAATTTCATCAGGGGTGCATAAAGGGAGGTAATTTGGGTGCTCTTGTGGGTGAGAATTTCAGCTGTTTTCAAAAGGCTTGGTATCAGTTTGAAAACTGTTCTACAGTAGGTAACAGGTATGAAATAAGTCAGTAACAACCTTAGAATGTATTTAGACTGCATTATAGGGCAATTCCAATAGTTTAAGGTGTGGTATCCATGGTAACTAAGAAGGAAAGTATGAGTTTTTGAATTTTGGATAAATTCTCTGTTTTGATGATTTTTACTCAATAATGTGTGTGTATTTCTCATAGATTGGGCATACAATCATGTTAATATTGTCATAAAATTACATTTCCATAGTTACTGCTGTAAAAAAGACTATTTTTCGAACAATATTGCAATGTAATAGGGTTTCTAATATTACACTTGAAGAAGGGTGGGGGGCAGTAAGCATAGGTGTTTGTGATGTCATACACATGACATTTAAGAATATCTTATGTCATATCACTGTTAATTACTTTCGAGAAATGTGTCAGATGCTAATTTGAAGTTTTTGTTGGATTTCTAGCCTTCACTATGACATCACAGTGCATTGGTGAAGCCATCATTAGCAATTGATGACGTCATAGTACTGATGACATCAGCTGTTACCATGACGTCATAACATAAGACTTTATATATGTAGTATCAATCTGCTTTTCAGTTATCTAAATTCACAGAAGCACAAACTACTTGATTCAGTTTCAATTGCAACTTTATTCAAGTAAATTTAAGACTTATTGAGGTTTTAATTTTTCAAATTACCTCCCTTTCTTCCTAATTTGAGAGCAGAATTGGTCAAAACACACCATGCGGGAAAATCCATATTACTCGATAGCTATTCAAGATACACAGTAAAGCGATATATTGTTTTGTTCGTGTGATCATTTTCTAGACACTCAGAGGGATTTTAATGAAATTAAAAAAACTAATTGTGATGTATAAGGTAGCAGTACACAGTTTCTCGGTGTGGCCATGGGTGATTTTTTTGCTCATTAGATTACCCCATTATAAAGGTTTTAATTAAAAATGAAAAAAAAAATCCTTGCTAAAATTGGTCCTGTCATGTTAAAGTGGACAATGTGGGGTTTCATTTTTTTCAGGATAATATTTTAGCTTTGTGTTGGAGATTACTATTTGGGCAGTCTCGAATCTGTGTCTACGCACCAAAAACTAGCTTTACAGGAAGTGAAATTTTCATAGTGTTTACATGTGGTCATGTTATGAAGAATTTCCGAGTTGGAATTTGCTGAAATGTAAGTACTTTGTTACCACGACAGTGTTGTTGATTGTAAGATAGGTGATTAGAATTAAATTTCTCCTAGAAAGTTGTAGTGTTGGATTGGAATTAGCAGTATTTTTGCATTTTTAGCATTTTTTCAGTAGGTAACCATGACAATCAAATGTCAGAAATCAGAGGAATTTTTTTTTTTACACAAATTTCATCTCTCTACTGTTAATGTAATTGTTATACAGTTTATAAATATATATACATGTAATGATGTATTTTTCATAACCAATCTGCTATACCTGTATATCTCAAACATGACAAATAATTTCAGGAAAAATGCAAATTAACTGTTTACTGCTACCTTATAGCACATTAAAAAAAATTAATCTATTTAAAATGTGCTTTACTATGTTTAATTAAGTTTAATCCTTTCCATAATTGCTATAAATACATAAAAAACACACTGAAACTTGTTCATAATGATTTTATTTTAATTTCATCAGGGGTGCATAAAGGGAGGTAATTTGGGTGCTCTTGTGGGTGAGAATTTCAGCTGTTTTCAAAAGGCTTGGTATCAGTTTGAAAACTGTTCTACAGTAGGTAACAGGTATGAAATAAGTCAGTAACAACCTTAGAATGTATTTAGACTGCATTATAGGGCAATTCCAATAGTTTAAGGTGTGGTATCCATGGTAACTAAGAAGGAAAGTATGAGTTTTTGAATTTTGGATAAATTCTCTGTTTTGATGATTTTTACTCAATAATGTGTGTGTATTTCTCATAGATTGGGCATACAATCATGTTAATATTGTCATAAAATTACATTTCCATAGTTACTGCTGTAAAAAAGACTATTTTTCGAACAATATTGCAATGTAATAGGGTTTCTAATATTACACTTGAAGAAGGGTGGGGGGCAGTAAGCATAGGTGTTTGTGATGTCATACACATGACATTTAAGAATATCTTATGTCATATCACTGTTAATTACTTTCGAGAAATGTGTCAGATGCTAATTTGAAGTTTTTGTTGGATTTCTAGCCTTCACTATGACATCACAGTGCATTGGTGAAGCCATCATTAGCAATTGATGACGTCATAGTACTGATGACATCAGCTGTTACCATGACGTCATAACATAAGACTTTATATATGTAGTATCAATCTGCTTTTCAGTTATCTAAATTCACAGAAGCACAAACTACTTGATTCAGTTTCAATTGCAACTTTATTCAAGTAAATTTAAGACTTATTGAGGTTTTAATTTTTCAAATTACCTCCCTTTCTTCCTAATTTGAGAGCAGAATTGGTCAAAACACACCATGCGGGAAAATCCATATTACTCGATAGCTATTCAAGATACACAGTAAAGCGATATATTGTTTTGTTCGTGTGATCATTTTCTAGACACTCAGAGGGATTTTAATGAAATTAAAAAAACTAATTGTGATGTATAAGGTAGCAGTACACAGTTTCTCGGTGTGGCCATGGGTGATTTTTTTGCTCATTAGATTACCCCATTATAAAGGTTTTAATTAAAAATGAAAAAAAAAATCCTTGCTAAAATTGGTCCTGTCATGTTAAAGTGGACAATGTGGGGTTTCATTTTTTTCAGGATAATATTTTAGCTTTGTGTTGGAGATTACTATTTGGGCAGTCTCGAATCTGTGTCTACGCACCAAAAACTAGCTTTACAGGAAGTGAAATTTTCATAGTGTTTACATGTGGTCATGTTATGAAGAATTTCCGAGTTGGAATTTGCTGAAATGTAAGTACTTTGTTACCACGACAGTGTTGTTGATTGTAAGATAGGTGATTAGAATTAAATTTCTCCTAGAAAGTTGTAGTGTTGGATTGGAATTAGCAGTATTTTTGCATTTTTAGCATTTTTTCAGTAGGTAACCATGACAATCAAATGTCAGAAATCAGAGGAATTTTTTTTTTTACACAAATTTCATCTCTCTACTGTTAATGTAATTGTTATACAGTTTATAAATATATATACATGTAATGATGTATTTTTCATAACCAATCTGCTATACCTGTATATCTCAAACATGACAAATAATTTCAGGAAAAATGCAAATTAACTGTTTACTGCTACCTTATAGCACATTAAAAAAAATTAATCTATTTAAAATGTGCTTTACTATGTTTAATTAAGTTTAATCCTTTCCATAATTGCTATAAATACATAAAAAACACACTGAAACTTGTTCATAATGATTTTATTTTAATTTCATCAGGGGTGCATAAAGGGAGGTAATTTGGGTGCTCTTGTGGGTGAGAATTTCAGCTGTTTTCAAAAGGCTTGGTATCAGTTTGAAAACTGTTCTACAGTAGGTAACAGGTATGAAATAAGTCAGTAACAACCTTAGAATGTATTTAGACTGCATTATAGGGCAATTCCAATAGTTTAAGGTGTGGTATCCATGGTAACTAAGAAGGAAAGTATGAGTTTTTGAATTTTGGATAAATTCTCTGTTTTGATGATTTTTACTCAATAATGTGTGTGTATTTCTCATAGATTGGGCATACAATCATGTTAATATTGTCATAAAATTACATTTCCATAGTTACTGCTGTAAAAAAGACTATTTTTCGAACAATATTGCAATGTAATAGGGTTTCTAATATTACACTTGAAGAAGGGTGGGGGGCAGTAAGCATAGGTGTTTGTGATGTCATACACATGACATTTAAGAATATCTTATGTCATATCACTGTTAATTACTTTCGAGAAATGTGTCAGATGCTAATTTGAAGTTTTTGTTGGATTTCTAGCCTTCACTATGACATCACAGTGCATTGGTGAAGCCATCATTAGCAATTGATGACGTCATAGTACTGATGACATCAGCTGTTACCATGACGTCATAACATAAGACTTTATATATGTAGTATCAATCTGCTTTTCAGTTATCTAAATTCACAGAAGCACAAACTACTTGATTC